TGCTGCTATTCAATCTATAACAGTGAAAAAAGTTTTTTGTTTTTAAATGCAAGCTATTGTGACACCAGTGAGTGAGTGGTGGCACTGGGCACAGTATCCACTGTGAGCCTGACACACCCGCTGGCAGACAACTAACAGCTATTCAATCTGTAACAGTGAAACAAGTTTTTTGGTTTTTAAATGCACGCTATTGTGACACCAGTGAGTGAGTGGTGGCACTGGGCACAGTATCCACTGTGAGCCTGACACACCCGCTGGCAGACAACTAACTGCTATTCAATCTATAACAGTGAAAAAAGTTTTTTGTTTTTAAATGCAAGCTATTATGACACCAGTGAGTGAGTGGTGTCACTGGGCACAGTATCAACTGTGAGCCTGACACAGACGCTGGCAGACAACTAACTGCTATTCAATCTATAACAGTGAAAAAAGTTTTTGGGTTTTAAATGCAAGCTATTGTGACACCAGACATGAGTGGCACTGTAAACTGGCAGAGTACACGTTGTAGCCCTGACACACCCGCTTGAAGACAACTAACTGCTATTCAATCTATAACAGTGAAAAAAGTTTTTTGTTTTTAAATGCAAGCTATTGTGACACCAGTGAGTGAGTGGTGGCACTGGGCACAGTATCCACTGTGAGCCTGACACACCCGCTTTGAGACAACTAGCTGCTATTCAATCTATAACAGTGAAAAAAGTTTTTTGGTTTTAAATGCAAGCTATTGTGACACCAGTGAGTGAGTGGTGGCACTGGGCACAGTATCTACTGTGAGCCTGACACAGACACTGGCAGACAACTAACTGCTATTCAATCTATAACAGTGAAAAAAGTTTTTTGGTTTTAAATACAAGCTATTGTGACACCAGTGAGTGAGTGGTGGCACTGGGCACAGTATCCACTGTGAGCCTGACACACCCGCTTTGAGACAACTAACAGCTATTCAATCTATAACAGTGAAAAAAGTTTTTGGGTTTTAAATGCACGCTATTGTGACACCAGTGGTGAGTGGTGGCACTGGGCACAGTATCCACTGTGAGCCCTGACACCCGCTGGCAGACAACTAACTGCTATTCAATCTATAACAGTGAAAAGTTTTTTGTTTTTAAATGCAAGCTATTATATTTTCCAGTGAGTGAGTGGTGTCACTGGGCACAGTATCCACTGTGAGCCTGACACACCCGCTTTGAGACAACTAACTGCTATTCAATCTATAACAGTGAAAAATGTTTTTTGGTTTTAAATGCAAGCTATTGTGACACCAGTGAGTGAGTGGTTTCACTGGGCACAGTATCCACTGTGAGCCTGACACAGACGCTATTCAATCTATAACAGTGAAAAAGTTTTGGGGTTTTTAAATGCACGCTATTGTGACACCAGATAAGAGTGGCACTTTGAAATGGCAAAGCTTGGCAGAGTACACGTTGTAGGCCTGACACACAGACGCTTGGAGACAACTAACTGCTATTCAATCTATAACAGTGAAAAAGTTTTTTGGTTTTTAAATGCATGGTATTGTGACACCAGTGAGTGAGTGGTGGCACTGGGCAAGTGGGCACAGTATACGTTGCGAGCCTGACACACAGACGCTTGCAGACAACTAACTGCTTTTCAATCTATAACAGTGAAAAAAAATTTTTGTTTTTAAAATCAAGCTATTGTGACACCAGTGAGTGAGTGGTGGCGCTGGGCACAGTATCCACTGTGAGCCTGACACCAGCTTTGAGACAACTAACTGCTATTCAATCTATAACAGTGAAAAAGATTTTTGTTTTTTTAAATCCAAGCTATTGTGACACCAGATCTAATTAGTGGCACTGGTCACCGTATCCACTGTTAGCGTAACACACCCGCTTTAAGGACACTGACTGCTATTCAATCTATAACAGTGAAAAAAGTTTTTTGTTTTTAAATGCAAGCTATTGTGACACCAGTGAGTGAGTGGTGGCACTGGGCACAGTATCCACTGTGAGCCTGACACACCCGCTGGCAGACAACTAACTGCTATTCAATCTATAACAGTGAAAAAAGTTTTTTGATTTTAAATGCAAGCTATTGTGACACCAGTGAGTGAGTGGTGGCACTGGGCACAGTATCCACTGTGAGCCTGACACACCGGCTTTGAGACAACTAACTGCTATTCAATCTATAACAGTGAAAAAAGTTTTTTGTTTTTAAATGCAAGCTATTGTGACACCAGTGAGTGAGTGGTGGCACTGGGCACAGTATCCACTGTGAGCCTGACACAGAAGCTGGCAGGCAGGCAACTGCAATTACATTACACTCACACAAAAAAAAAGACTGATGTTCCAGCCCTAAAAAGGGCTTTTTGGGGTGCTGTCCTTACAGCAGAGATCAGATGAGTCCTTCAGGACTGTAGTGGACACTGTATACCCTAACCTAGCTATTCATTTCCCTATCTAATCAACAGCAGCTACACTTTCCCTCCTCTCACTAAGCATGCAGCTTGAGAATGAATGTAAAATGGATGCCTTCCAGTAGGTGGGAGGGTCTGCTAGGGAGGGTGTGCTGCTAATTGGCTGGAATGTGTCTGCTGACTGCGAGGTACAGGGTCAAAGTTTGATGACGAATAGGGGGCGGATCGAACCGCGCATATGTTCGCCCACCGTGGCGAACGCGAACATACTATGTTCGCCAGGAACTATTCGGCAGCGAACCGTTCGGTGCATCACTAGTCAGTTTCCTTCACCAGTGTGCGTTTCAGGGCCTGCCCAGTGCCACCACTCACTCACTGGTGTCACAATAGCTTGCATTTAAAAAAAACATAACTTTTTGGACTGTAATATAATAGCAGTCAGTTTCCTTCACGAGTGTGCGTTTCAGGGCCTGCCCAGTGCCACCACTCACTCACTGGTGTCCCAATAGCTTGCATTTAAAAAACAGAAAACTTTTTGGACTGTAATATAATAGCAGTCAGTTTCCTTCACGAGTGTGCATTTCAGGGCCTGCCCAGTGCCACCACTCACTCACTGGTGTCCCAATAGCTTGCATTTA